TTGACAGATGGTCGGCCACTTGATTATCCACCACTTTTCTATCAATGATTTCCAAATCAAACTCTTGCAAAAGCAAGACCCACCTTATTAACCTTGGCTTTGCATCTTTTTTAGAAATAAGATACTTGATGGCAGCATGATCAGTATGAACAATCACTTTGGTTCCCATCAAGTATGATCTGAATTTTTTAAAAGCAAAGACCACAACTAATAATTCATTTTCAGTAGTGGTGTAATTGATTTGAGCATCATTAAGAGTTTTGCTTGTATAATAAACAGGATGAAATTTTTTTTCTCTCTTTTGACCCAACACTGCACCAACTGCCCAGTCACTAGCATCAATCATTATTTTAAAGGGTTTGGACCAGTCAGGTGTTATTACCACAGGAGCAGTGACCAATGCTTCTTTTAAAATGTTGAAAGTTTTTCTACAATCTTCATTAAAATTGAAAACATGGTCATGCTGTAATAATGAACAAAGAGGTTTTGATATTTTTGAAAAATCTTTAATAAACCTCCTATAAAAATCTGCATGTCCAAGAAAACTTCTAATCCCTTTGACAGTTGTTGGTTCAGGTAACTTCTCAATTACCTCTAACTTTGCTTTATCAACTTCAATGCCTCTTTTGGAATTAAATGCCCTAACACTATGCCTTCTTTTACCATAAAGTGACATTTTTCCCAGTTCAAAACCAGATCTGTTTCTTCACATCTTTTAAGACTTTTTTCAAGGTTTTGCAAACACAGGTCATATGATGTCCCATAAACTGAAAAATCATCCATGAAAATTTCCATGGAGTGTTCTAACATATATGAGAAAATAGACATCATACACCTTTGGAAAGTGGCAGGGGCATTACAAAGTCCAAAAGGTATTCTTCTAAAAGCAAAAGTTCCATATGGACATGTGAAAGTAGTTTTTTCCTGATCATCCGGTGCTATGGCAATCTGATTGTAACCGGAGTAGCCATCTAAGAAACAATAAAACTCTTTTCCTGCTAGTCTGTCTAACATTTGGTCTATGAAGGGTAATGAAAAATGGTCTTTTTAAGTGGCCTTATTAAGCCTCCTATAGTCCATACATATCCTCCAACCAGTTACTGTTCTAGTAGGTATAAGTTCTTTCTTCTCATTTGGTACAACAGTGACTCCACCCTTTTTAGGGACACATTGCACAGGACTGACACAAGTACTACTAGCAATATGATAGATTATGCCAGCGTCATGCCATTTTAAAATCTCCTTTATTTTGATACTAAAATAAATAATTATTATCTTTATAAAAAAATTATATTATTAAACTAAATATGAATTACTTCGTTATTGTACATAAATTAAATTATTAAAAAATTGAATTAAAAAATTACACAAGAAATGAGGAATTTCAAATAGTTAATTTGATACTAATATCGATATATTTTTGTCAAATTTTTATGATATCTTCAAACATATATTTTATTCAAAAATAAAAACACCATCGTTTTCTCAAAATCACATAAAGCCATATTATAACATCTGCTGAGATAAATAATAAAATGAAATATTAAAATCACGATGTATCTCGCTGCATTGCGCGAGTACGCTTCTAGTATATATGTGTATATATATATATATACATATATATATATATGTATATATATATGTATATATATATGTAGGGTTGGGTTCACGTGAGACCAAAGGTTTTTCGTATGACCCGTGAGACCAATTTATATTCATTGATCAACTTTATAAGCTAACGATCTAATGGTCTAAAATTGCACGGTGGCAATTTTGTAATTATTGAGAAATCTTGTGGCAATTTTATGATTATGAATATTGAGATTGTAGATCTAATCCAAAAAATTGGTCTTACAGGTCTCACAAAAAAACTTTGGTCTCATATAATCCCAAGTCTCTCTCTCTCTCTCTCTCTATATATATATATATAGAGAGAGAGAGAGGGGGGGGGGGGGGTGGAGGTTCAAACAAAAATACCTCCATTTTACGAAAATGCAAGAACACCTTTATCATATGTGATACGCGTGAGGGGACCCTGTGATGTGCAGACGACGTGTTTTACGACTTAGACCATGCCAAAGGTTGTTTGCGTCTATGATTTAGCATCACATGTGATGGTTTTGATGGATTATAGCATCATATCAATAACAATTTTATCACATGTGATAATATTTGTAAGGGGGCTTAGTGGTGTAAGAGCGATTTGGTCCGCAAACAAGATCACATCGAAAATCATCCGCGTCTTTGATTTAGTATCACATGTGTATCATATGTGATTGTCTATAGCATGGGCGGACCTACCTAAATATTATTTCTCTGTCGGAGGGTAAAAAATTTAGGTTTGTGAACAGTGCTACCGTATCGTTTTAGAATGTGCTACCGTATTTTTCTGAAATCCAAATAGTGCAACTAAAAAATTTAGGTTTGTGAACGGTGCTACCGTATTGTTTTAGAAGGTGCTACCGTATTTTCCTCAATTATATAAAAACCATACATTTTTTAATTATTTTTGGGTATATATTGACCATTTTCAAAAGATGAAGACGCGTCGGGTACAAGTTTAGTAGTTGTTTATCAGTTCTATAAAAACCATATTTTTTGTAATTATTTTTAGATGTATATTAATATGTTTTTTTTTCATTAAAAACTATGATTTAAAATATTATTTCACATATGTTTGTGTTTACCTTATGAAAAAATTACATATAAACTTATTTTTGTTTCACTTGGTGAAACGAAAATTTTATATAAAAAAATATTCAAGTGGTGAAACGAATACATGTGAAACTATCATATTATGAAGCAAGTATATGTGAAACGTTATCTTAAACCCTAACATTTAATAAGAAAACCATGTCAAAAATCGGTTCTCACATGTTTATAATACTTTTATGGTTCTCATTTCCCCCCTATATATATATATATATATATATANTAATGAGTGTTTAAAAGATAATGATCGTGTTTAAAAGATTTGATGATATCATTTCCATTATTACCCTTTTAATTTTAAATTTTTTTGAATCTTTTTAAATTTAAATTTAAATTTTAAAAATCTTTTAATTTTATTTTTTTATCACAATATGAGGTTATTTGGTTATTCTTGCGTTCTCGTAAATCACAAGAGTTCTCGTTTGAACCCTTCCCTCTATATATATATATATATATATATATATATATATATATATATATATGAGCGATCAAATGAAAACCGCCCTCATTTGTGTAAACTATGTAACTACTCTCATCCATCCATTTTCATTGATCAATGGTCAAGATTAGTTTAGGTTATATTAAGAAATTAAAATAAATAAATAAATAAAAATTTATTTTATAATCCTTATAAGGGTAAAATGGTAACTTTGGTAGTGGTTTTATAATTAATGGCAACCATATCATGTTATATCATTAAAATAGATTCAAAATATAAATAAAACACACCATAATCAATTCTACATAATGAATCATTTTGAATAGAAATTAAAAAAAAATTGTATTACATTACATGAACGAAATGGTTTCACAGTTTCATCAATACACTTATCAACGTAATCCTGATCAGATTTTGTCATTTTCATTTTATTGGTAGATGGATCCGTTTCATTTTGATGATGAAATTGTTTCATTATTCACTAATTACACACAATTTTCTTAGAAACCATGAAATGGTTTCACTTTCTTCAATCACTCATTTCATCGACTATCATGATTTGATTAATCATTTATCATTTCACGCTATTGATAATGAAATTGTTTCATTTTTCACTAATTACACAGGATTTTCTTTGTGCTTAACTTTCCTAGATGAAGATCGGTATGTGGATAATGTGATAGCAATGAGTAATTATATTTGATGGGTATATACATCTATGTTGTGACTGTGATATGTATGGGACATATTGCAAATATATATATATATATATATATATAGGGGAGCGATCAAATGCAAATCACTCAATTTGTACAAACCGTGCAAACCGTATTCAACCAATCATAATTTTTCATTTTGTTCATTTTTTTGTAATTATGAGAGGTTGATTAATCATTTTTATTGTGAAGGGTGTTAATTATAGAT